TTATTTTCAATAAAAATTAAGGAAATAATCAAAAAGTTGAAAATAAAGTATCGGGTAGGGTTAGGGTAGGTGTAGGGAGGGCTTTATTGTACCAATAAGGTGGCATCCATTTAATAATTAAAATTAAAATTATAATTTACACTCAATACGTTATTATTGCATACTGTTTTATAATGTACTACAATACTGAAGTGCAGATAATTGCCACTATTTGCAACAAGTAGTATACTTGATAGTAGAAATCCTCCTATTTTAACAGTGTAAATAGGTATTTGCACGTAGTGTAAATAGCATATTGCTAAAAATACTGCTATTTTCACTTAGTGTAAATAGAATCCATTGCTAATACGAGATTTGAAAAGGGAGGAAAAAAAAGTTCGGCAAAAGATGGGATCGAACCCGGGTCGATCACGTCAAAAAGCTGACGACACGCGCTTATCCATCTGCGCCACTGGAGCTGATGATTCACAGCCACTTTTAACTATATGTAAATAGACACCCCGTATTTTTTATTCCACAGTAAGGGCAATTCATACAATACATTTAAACTGAGCTACTTTAATACCATCTCCGAACTTTCTACCGACTCTGCTGTTCTTCGGCTGGTTCTTCCCTGTATAGGTTGATTGACAGATGTCTCGTCCAGTCAGCGGTGAGTAATCCCAAACCAATGGCGCTGTCTCAAACTATACCTACCTCTTCCGGTTTGTCTGATTTGTCGTTGTGTTTTCTGACTTGTTCATTTGTTTTCGGATTTGTCGTTGTGTTTTCTGACTTATTATTTTGTTTTCGAATTTGTCATTGTGTTTTCTGACATGTTATAATGTTTTCTGAATTGTTGTTGTGCTTTCTGAATTGTTATTTTGTTTTTTAGACTTGCATTTGCGTTTGTAATTTGTTATTTTGTTTTCAGAATTGTGATTTGTTTAGCACTTTTCGGCCACCGTACATCCCAGATCGTGTCAAAGGATTGTTTGTTGAAGGAGTATTTTGTTTCGTAAATGAGGCAAAGTGTCACGGAGAGTTCACAAAGAAACATTTGTTGAAAGATGAAGCGGTACTAGATCCGACTGCAGCTGCATCACAATCTGTAAGTAAATGATTTCATAATGTTTTATTTTGATCATGTTGTCAAAACACTCACATGCAATAGCGAGGGGGCAGGGCACTGATACGGTTTCCTATGCAAGGATGTTAGCCAATCATAACAGTGGCCAATTACTGACAAGCCTCAAAGGACACGCCCCTTAAAACAAGTCGTTTTAGACAGAGGGTCAGAATGAGGGTTGAAAATAATCATTTTTGCACATATGTATTTGTTGTTTCTTTTTGGTGAAAAAAACTTTATTAACATTATAAGTAAACCTCAAGGCACATATTAAAATAATGTTAAAAATCCATGTCATGACCGCTTTAATCAAACTGTTTCTGGCTAAGAAAAATTATCAATGAAAATCCAGTTGACAAAGACATATTTCATTTATAGAAACGTATGTATCATTAATGAAAGCATCTGTGGCATTGAAACTGTTGCTTCTTAATAGCACGACAGAATAAGAAATATGGGAAAATTGATGAGGAAAGTGACCAGAGCACAGGCGAAAAAGGAGGCCAACTGCTTTAATAATTGAACTCTTCATTAACAAAGCAATTATATTTTTCTTTCAGGCCAATTTGGAAGTGATCTGACATTATTGGCACTGAAATAGCGGTTCTCTTACCGGGTGGGAGTCTGTGGAGTTGGGATCGGCTCCAGGAATTGTCAGATGGAGACTCTGGAGATAATATGTGGTCTGCATCTGCAAGCGAAGACAACAGCACACATAAACATGCAGGCTGCACTCACTGCACTGGTTCTGACCAGCCTACTATGATCCATTTACCACTTGTAGAGACACTGTTGCAGAATATTGCTATTGATTAAAACTTGAAATAGGGCAGAGGTAGAAAATAACAAGAGGCAATATTTCAGCCAGTAAAAGCAGTTTGGTGCTTTGTGAGAACATTCTGCAATATCTATTCATGCAGAAAGTCATTAGGCATTTTTTTTTTTTATAAAAGTCAGAGATGTCCTTTACTTGAACCTTAATTTAAGGCCCCGAGGACTAACAATGTCGGATAACCTTTCTAACAGTTGGCAAGCGTCTCAGCAGACAAAACATATGGGATGACAAGGCCTCAAAAGATGACCTTTCGCCATAATTGGAGGAAGAGAATCTTGTTTTCACGTGAGATGGACTACGAAACAATGATCCTTATCCTGACAGTCCCACAGCAATTTAACTTTACTACTAAAGCTGCATTTACTGCAGGAAATTACTCAATGCACCTTTAGAGAGAAGAATTTTACAGCATAAATATAAGGATTTTTTTACGTTACCACTGGTCAAGATCTGGAAAACAATTAGGGTGACCAGACATCCTGATCCTGTTATGAATTAAAACATTTAAAAAAAACGGCTGGTTATTTCACTAAGGTGGTTGTAAGATGCAGAAATGAAAGAGACAGACCTTGAAAATATTTAAACATGGAAATGTTGACAAACTGTATTCAAACATCTTCAAAACACTTTATGAGTGGTTTGACACACAACCTGTTTTTCTGTGGTAAGGTGACATAAATTCAGTGGTTACGGGCCCCACGCCGGCTGTTAAAGGAACGCTGCTTTAGTAGTAGAGATGCCCCATTCTTTATTGCTTGTCCTTTCTGTATTACCTTGAGCAAGGCACATATAAAGTTCTTCAAGGAAGCACCTGTCTGCTCAAGGGCTTTAAACCCACCCGTCCCATAAAGGCTCCAAATGGCACAAACCTTAATATGTCAGAGACAAAATCTCTGCTTATAAACATCCATCACTTGTATTTGACATGCCAACGACACCGTTCATCAGCACCATGCCTCTCCTTCTGTATGAGACACCTTGAGACTTCAAGCTAATAAAATACCTATGCAATTTCCTATTTATCCTGTGTCACAACTACAGTAAATTAAGGTTAAAAAATGCATTGTTGGTACATTTCCCTATTTTTAAGGACCTATAACTGACACAACAGATTTGACAGACGTAGTACTTGACACACCCACTCATAAAAGCCTTACCTGGAAATAGACAGTCCAGTACGGAATGAGTGCCAGGAAAACAGGAAGTATTTTAACCAGCGCTTTCACTTCCTCCACCTTCTCCTCTGAAAATCGCCCACCGTACGTCACCTTTGCGCCATCCAGTAGAGATGGCTTTGGCCTTGTGGGGGAAACAAGCATTTTAACAAGCATTCATTAAAACATCACTGAAATATTGGAGTATATCTGTGTTTGAGAAAGAAAGTAAAAAAGATAACGAAAGAAAGGAGCACGGATTTGGCCAACTTAAAAATAATAACGTCACGTTTTTTCATGACGCGCCTGTTCTTTGATTTAGAGAGAGGGCACGGCACTTGACTTGACTTGACAGTAAATAATGCCGCAGAGACACGATGAATAGGACCGCAACATACGAGACAGACAAGAGAGGTGGATCAAAGAGAAAGATGAGGGATAACATTACAGACTAATAGAGTCATCTGAATCTGGAGTGGAGGTTCCCACGAAAGAACTGCATAAATTTACAATCTAACACACTAAAACCATTTAACACAGTAGAATGTAAAGACTAATAGGCACATTTATTTTTAAGTTTAAGAATAAATATTTATAATCTTTACATATTTTATACTTTCTGAATATGCAACAACTGAAAAATACATCTTAGTTCAACAAGAAATTATGTTCATATGTAGATGAAGCTTAATTTGCAACTAATGTGCATCCTATTCTTTTTGCTGCACTTATATTAAAACGCATCTTTTCATTATTAGGAAGTGAAAAAGTAAACCAATACTCCAACTGGGCCTCATTTATCAATCTAACATAGAAACGAGCGCAGATCCGAGCACACAAACTTACGACAGGGTTCACTTGTGATTCGTGAAACATTCATAGTCAACCAATCTTATCATACGAACGAATTGTACACTGATAAATTTGGCAGCTGAAAACAATCGTCAATTGAATATCACGCCACTAAAAATTCATGCTTTAGAAGCCTTGCCCCTAGAGTTTACGGTATGAAGAAATGTAACCTGACCAAAAAGAGGAAGTAATCTCATGAAAGAGAAATTGATCTTACTCCAAAAACACCCGTTAACCTTGTAATTGCAAACAATTACATTAATTTATATGTGTATTAAATAGCGGTAAATATAATGAAACAATTACAATGAAACAATGAAACAATTCAGAACAGAACAAGAATGATATATAAGTAGCTATAACGATGCAACGATTTGTGAATCCTCATGGTCTATTGTTTATGCTGCTATTTGCACATATAAAGCTAAAGCCCTGGGGAAAAAAAAATTACATTCCAAGTGCTGCATAAAGACAACCGTACGGCCAATTTTCTGTGGAACATTTGTTTTGTAAAAGAGGCCCAATAAAACCAAGAGTGTGTATTAAGAAAATAAACAAGGTCAAGGTTAATTTCATGTGGACTTCTTTATTCAGTAAAGTAAATGCGGCCCTCACCTGAGCAGACTTGGTTCTTTTGGCCCGCGTCCACAGAGGGCCGAGGCCAGGATCCGGAACATGTCGCTGAAGGCACTGCCGTCTGCAGGTTTGGTTATAAACACCATTTTGCCCAGAACAAAGATGATGAGGGACACCCCGAGGCAGACGGCTGGGATGATGTAGCCAATAAAGAAGCTAACGTTCTGCTGAATATAGGCTACTCCACCCAGCGAGAAGATCGCTCCAAGATTAATGCACCAGTAGAACCAGTTAAAGAACTGCCGCGTTGCCTCTGGACCTCGATCCTTCACCTGTAAGGACATACATCACAAATACATGTGTGAACTTTAAGATCATTGATTCATTTTTATTCACTTGTTTTATTAGTTTTAAGTGCACTGACTGAAAACTCTCCTTATTTTAATAATCAAATCACTTTTAAATCCATAATAACCCGGCCTATAACAAGTTCAGTATCAAACACAGGCAATAATAACAACATGAATATAATTTCCAGCTGGAAAAACATGGTATCTTTTTTTACTTGCATGTGGTTACAGAGTACCATCAATAAGCACATCAACATTCAATACCCATAGTCTTCATTTAATTCAAGTACTGATTTGCAATTTACTAAATGCATTTACAAACTTGTGTGAAGTTTCTTCTCAAGTGCATGCACATGCTGTTCTAAAGAGATGTCTGCTCTCAAAAACCTATAAAACATGCAGCTGTAGTCATACAATCAGAGATCGATCCACCAATTTTGGGAAAAGTGTCAATATACTGTAAATTGTAAGCCAATTTTCAGTTCATTGCCCCACTTCCTCAAAGTTTCAATGAGATCTATGCCTCACAATGACATCCAGATGGTACATCCCACAGTTAATTTATTTATCAAATCTAAAAAACACATGACGATCATATGACAAGGCAACAATTCAACAGACATCAACACTGGCCTATTCCAAGTCATCCACATTGCAAAATAAGCCTTGGGTTTTATTTTCTTCCAAAAACTTGTTAAATAATCCAGTAGACCAGGTAACTGGGAAAACAAAAACAAACAAAAAAAAACTGTCAAGCAGTCAGAAAAACCAACAAAGACAGATGTCAGTTTTACTTCCTAAGTTGTTAGTTTCATTTTGCATGTTATGCACAGAAGCATCGTTTAGAAGAGTCTAGGGTTTCTAATTAGTCATTTAGCAAATTATTTCCTTATAGTTTGCTTATAACAGGGATATTCTCCACTGTACTGGGCTACTGTATAGTTTCTTGTTACTGAGAGGTCATGTAATCGGGTGAAAGTGGTTAATGAGTGCTAAAGCATGACAAATGGAAGGATTCTTTTTTTGTACAAATATTTTTGCACATTATAAGAAATGTTTTGTTGTGCTTGGTGTGAATCAATCTACATCACTGAATTTCTTCAGCATTTAATTCTCAACAATACAACATATTAAGTTTGCAGATAGCAATGTAGTTCTTCTAACCAAATCTGAAAAACAGACCTAGGCAGTGACCATAGAAGTCACTTCATCAAAAAGCCTAAGCATTTAGATCTTGTGACACAAGTCATTTTGTAGGCCACATGGCTAATTCAGACTCAAAGTACCTCAGAAATGTGTGGTATGTGCCTTGTCATTTAATAAGTGAAGTGAAAGTGCCCAGAGTTGTGTCCGAATTTAAGGAAGCCTCACATAAACGGCTGTTGCCAAGGGAAACACAATAGCACTTTCTGAAATGCAGAAACCCATACTTAAGTAATAAGGCACTGATTCATAAGATTGAGTGTTTTAAATTCTCAATTTACTATTATTGCATTTGTTAATTTAAAGCTCCTTTTAAGACATGACAATGTTAGGTAAAATTAAACTTGAAAAATAACAGTCACCCTTAGTCACTCTTGTTTCATTCCAAACCTGTATGACTATCTTCTGTGTATTTTATACTGAAAATGAATGAGGAATAAGAGTGTGAAGTGAATGTGAAATGGATTATAAAAGTGGTCCATATGACTTATATTCAGTTTATGAACCCTATCTCTCATAGGTGCATTCATGAGAGACACAGCAATGTCTGATTTGTGCTTTTTTTTTTTCATTTTGCATCTTTTCACAATAAATTTACAAATAGAATGTTTACAAATCTAATAGATCCACTCTTTACTTTTATGATACTTTTGCATCCTTTTTGAAGTTTAAAATGACCAGCCCCCAAAGTAAGTGGACAGAGCAAACAGCACTTTACTCAAAACTTCTTCTTTTGGGTTCCTAAAAAAAAGTGAGAAAACCAATACCAAGTCACAAAAAACAAGTCACAATAAACTCTCTAAACTACAAAAGCAGTGACTCGTTGTATCTACAGACAGCACCAGTCAGGGTTTACCTAAAGCATCTGAAAGAACAAACGCCAGCAAGCATGTCAAAGGTCTTAATATCATTTAGTTTCATAAAAGCCAGACATAGTAGAAAATACTGTTCTGAGAATCAATCCAAGGTTGTGCCCTCTGAGATTTGAACCTACTCAAAGTTTAGACAACTTTTCAGTTGTAGTGAATTATGTTATCTCACGGGTTTCAATCTTTTAGATGCCACAGATCCCCCAAATATACACAAAAAAAATCTGCTATATATTTAAATGTATAAAGACTCAGTGGAAACAACAATTATAAATAAGCATAAAATATTATTTTGAAAATATGTATTTTTTTAAGTTACATTATGTTTTTTAGACTCACCAGAGTACTGTACTGTTAGATGTATTATTTACATCAATTTTTAAAATTGATTTATTTTATCCAAATTATATATGAAGTTACTTTGTTTAGTTTTTAAATTCATTTTCTTTAGTTCATTTATTTTTACACTGTTTTTATCTAAACTTCTCAACGGACCCAGAGCACTCCCTTCCTAACACTTCCCCAGACCCCATTTTGAAAACCCCTGCATTACCTGATCTGCCCCGAATGGAGTGATGTTTGATTTCACAGCTCCCACGCCAACGGCCACCAGCACCAGACCACTGAATATCGCAGGCCCACAGTAGGGCGGCCGATTCATGCAGGTCACATTGGCGGGCACAGTCCCATTTTCAGGAAAACACTCTGCCGGCTGCACTGGGAACGCCATCTCTTCTCCACACAGAGAGGTCCTGGTGTTGTCGTTGGCCACAAAGGGGAAAAGCAGCATCCCGATTAGGTACAGAACTAAACTCAAGGCTATGGTTGCAAACTTGCCAAGGCACGCATCCGCCAGCCAGCCACCAAAAGGCGATATCAAATAAGTGACACCCATGAAGATCAAGGGGGCCTGGCTGGCCGAAGTGGCCTGCCAATAGAAGGGGCTGCTGTTGAGGAAGAGCACCAGGTTCGAGGTGATGCCATAGAAGGCCATCCTCTCTAAAGACTCTGCCAGCAGTATGGCAGCACAGGCCAGTCTCCTGCCATTGAACACTGACTCCGATCTGGTTGAAGCCACAGAGTTGTCCAAAAGAGGAGTGCTCTCGTTTACATCCCTGCCAGCCATGGCCTGATATGCTGTTTCTCAAGAGGTGGTCAGCTGACCAAAATCAAAACCTAGAACAACAACAAAACGACTGCCATTATATTAAAAGCACGTGATACCACAAAACTATACATGACGCAATAATGGAAATTCAGGAAATAAATCACGACAGAGTCCAAATAAAATACTGACACATGTATTTCTTAGCCTTATTGACATATTTGTAGATTTCAACCGACAATAAAACAACATGAAAGGCCGCTGACATGCTGTCAGCAACTTCTTTATTTTACTCAGTAAACAGACTAACAACAAACATTTGTAAACACATACCGTTCTTGAACACTTAGCACTGCTCTACATTTAGTTGTGTTCAGCCCGCGACGTGTTTACCAATGTCCTCGGGATACATGTTATTAAAATATTAGTTTAAAATTCCTGAAAGTCTGACAGTATGGTTAGCTGTCGGCTCTGAAGGTAAACAGCAAGTCACAATACTACCGCGTGACACCCGGTTCACTCACAAGCGTCAAAGAGACGCGCCCACAGCGCATTCATCGGATAACAGTATCATCTGGAGGCGCTTATCGTGTGCCAGTGAAGAGTATCAGGTTTATCGTTTTGTATACAAAACGTAGAGTTAAGCGTCAATCAACTGGCAAGAAAGCTAAAGGCAACTACTGATTGGGTAAAGGAAAAATAAAGAGTTTATTCTATTGGCTAGTCTTGCAGCCAATCAATTCTGCACATAAACTTCCTGGGTGGTGCCTTTGCTGTCAAGTACATTTTAAATACGGCTAGTTGGTTATTCCACTGATGTAATAGAGAATATATAGTTTAGGGGGTTTAATTAATTTTGTGCAAATACCACTGAGGAAAAATGTGCATCTCTGGTATTGTTGTTAAGAACTCATTTTGAGAGCATTTTATCAGTATTATTCCAGGAGGTTTTATACATAATTGTATATATTCTTATGTTATGGGCATTGTCCACATTTATTATGAATCTAATTTAAATAGATTAATAATTCATTTATTTATTTATTTATTAACCATTTTTTATCAATGTCTTGTTTAGATTCACACCCTTTTTGTGATTAGTGGCCATTTGTTAAAACCTTTTTTAATAGTTTGTGCATACACCTCTTAGAAAGACCTTTTTTGCCTAAGGTGTTCATAGATAGATAGATAGATAGACAGATAGATAGATATTTTGTGTTTAGTTAACATAAAAATGTATGCCATGTATTATAATATATTCCTTGTAAATATGACAGAATACTATGTTGTAACAACACAGATTATTTGATTGTGTGACTAAAAATGTATTGTTGAATGGATTTAAATTTCCAGTTAGTTACAATAACAAATTTAATTTGCAAGTGTACTTAAATCTTTCATGTTTTGATCAAAAGTAAAAAAAAAAGCGTTTGAGTGTCAGTTATGTAGACTGACAGATCACACGGATCTGCTAGAGCTGCTCGGCTTTAAACAGCTGACAGATTTTTAAGGATCAAGAGGTGAATAAAACTTTCACAACTTTAGCCTTCTTTCCTCATTCAGACCCATTAAAATGTATGAAATTCATGAACTCAATTTCAAACGGTCTGTACTCTAAGGAAGTGCCAGTGGCAATTTGCTGTGGCATGATAACACTTCGAAAGTCAGCATGTCCCTCATTCACAGCTCCTCTCTCTCATGAGACTGACTACAAGACTTGGGTTATGTGTTTGTTGTTACTTACTACTAAGCAAACTGCAATATATATCAATGACAAAGAATATATACAGTGCCTTGCGAAAGTATGCATACCCCTTCATTTTTTTCACATTTTGTTATGTTGCGGCCTTATGTTAAACTGCTTAGTACTTTTTCCCACATCAATCTACACTCCATACACCATAATGGTAAAGCAAAAAAAAAAATCTTTGCAAATTTATTACAAATAAAAAAATTAAATGATTCCACTGCATAAGTATTCATACCCTTATCTGGGACAGTTGAAATTTAGCTCAGGAGCATTCATATTGCTTGTAGATGTTACTACACTTCGAGTGAAGTTAACCTGTGGCACATTCAGTTGAATGGGTATGATTTGGAAAGGCACACAAATCTTAATAAAAGATTTAACAGCTGATAATGCATATCAGAGCAAAAACCAAGCCCTGAGGGCAAATGAACTGCCTGTTGAGCTCAAAAATAGGTCTGCGTCAAGCCACACATCTGGGGAAGAGTTCAGAAAAATATTCTGCTTCATTGAAGGGTCACAGAAGCAAGTAGTCTCTGTTACCCTTAATGAAAGAAGTTTGAAACAACCAGGGGCCTCATTTATCAACAGTGTGTAGAAAAGGTTCTATTTTGTCCTTATATTTACACACATTCCTACATATAAGTACAAGTTGGTAGATCACACACTTTGAGTGAAACTGTGCTTACGCACTCATTACGCACACATCTGTGCGTACGCACTGTTGATAAATGAGGGCCCAGGACTCTTCCTGGAGCTGGCCTCCTGGCCAAACTGAGCAAGTGATGGAGAAGGGCTTTGGTTAGAGTGGTGACCAAAAACCAGTTGGTCACTCTAGTTGAGCTCCATGATCATATGTGGAGATAGGAGAAATCTACAGAAGGACAAACTTCACTGCAACACTCCACTGATCTGGGCTTTATGGCGGTGTGGCAAGACTCAATCCTCTGAGTCAATGATGTTCAGGGGGCCTGGAATAATCTAATTACATGTATTTAATATTTGGAATTTGGTCAAGTAATCCGGATTGCATGTAATCAGCAGTATTACTGTTTTTTTTTTAATTGCATTGTTATCAAATAAATGCAGCCTTGTTGAACTTTTAAAAATCTAGAAGATACATAAATAAAAACAATCCAAACTTTTGACTGTTAGCAAAAGGGACTTTGAAGTGATTGTATCAAATGTTGATATTGTGGTAATTTGATAAATAACATTGTAATACAAATGTAATTACCATGTCAAGTTCTTTATATATTTATTTATTTTCTATATCTATCTATCTTTTAGGCTATAATTAATATCTAACATTTCCATGGCTTGCTACACAATCCACACAGATCGTGTACACTCTTGATTATTAATATACACACTAATATATTTAGATGTGATTGGGTGTCACATTTTATCTTTTTTAATTTCGCACACTAGTTTCCATGTTTCCGGAGGGTCTTCATTTGAAACGGACTAGTGCAAAAATAAACTCGCGTGCGTACGTGTGTGTGTCCGGGAGGCTGGTCTCTGACGCGACAACACGAACAGAGTCAGGTCAGGAGAGTATTATTGTCTGTCTGCTGGCAGGCAAACTCTCTCTACTGTTTATTAGCGTCAGCATTTTAAAATGCGCGTGCTCTTCCTAGCCCCAAACAGTCCCAAAACAGGGAACTGTACTACAGCCGAAAGAATAAGGTAACATTGCTGTTTGCTTAGCGAAACCAGGAAGTACCAGTCCTCTATTGATTCTCAAGTCAACAAAAGAGCTTATCCTAGTAGTATTAACCCTGTAAGGCGATCATTTTTCAACTGAAGCTATCTTAAATCAAAGTACTAGGCTATATGTCACGTATTGCACTGCATAATGCACATAATGTTTTCTTTTGGCGCTGTTGTTCAAATAAGTACCATGTTATTGGACACGTACCATGGTAAAATCATGGTAATCTTTGAGATCGAAGTACCATGGTATTACATCGCTGTGCTATGATACAGCCACACAATTTTTGTAAGGGGTGTTATTAAAGAAACATCTGTGCGTACGCACTGTTGATAAATGAGGGCCCAGGACTCTTCCTGGAGCTGGCCTCCTGGCCAAACTGAGCAAGTGATGGAGAAGGGCTTTGGTTAGAGTGGTGACCAAAAACCAGTTGGTCACTCTAGTTGAGCTCCATGATCATATGTGGAGATAGGAGAAATCTACAGAAGGACAAACTTCACTGCAACACTCCACTGATCTGGGCTTTATGGCGGTGTGGCAAGACTCAATCCTCTGAGTCAATGATGTTCAGGGGGCCTGGAATAATCTAATTACATGTATTTAATATTTGGAATTTGGTCAAGTAATCCGGATTGCATGTAATCAGCAGTATTACTGTTTTTTTTTTAATTGCATTGTTATCAAATAAATGCAGCCTTGTTGAACTTTTAAAAATCTAGAAGATACATAAATAAAAACAATCCAAACTTTTGACTGTTAGCAAAAGGGACTTTGAAGTGATTGTATCAAATGTTGATATTGTGGTAATTTGATAAATAACATTGTAATACAAATGTAATTACCATGTCAAGTTCTTTATATATTTATTTATTTTCTATATCTATCTATCTTTTAGGCTATAATTAATATCTAACATTTCCATGGCTTGCTACACAATCCACACAGATCGTGTACACTCTTGATTATTAATATACACACTAATATATTTAGATGTGATTGGGTGTCACATTTTATCTTTTTTAATTTCGCACACTAGTTTCCATGTTTCCGGAGGGTCTTCATTTGAAACGGACTAGTGCAAAAATAAACTCGCGTGCGTACGTGTGTGTGTCCGGGAGGCTGGTCTCTGACGCGACAACACGAACAGAGTCAGGTCAGGAGAGTATTATTGTCTGTCTGCTGGCAGGCAAACTCTCTCTACTGTTTATTAGCGTCAGCATTTTAAAATGCGCGTGCTCTTCCTAGCCCCAAACAGTCCCAAAACAGGGAACTGTACTACAGCCGAAAGAATAAGGTAACATTGCTGTTTGCTTAGCGAAACCAGGAAGTACCAGTCCTCTATTGATTCTCAAGTCAACAAAAGAGCTTATCCTAGTAGTATTAACCCTGTAAGGCGATCATTTTTCAACTGAAGCTATCTTAAATCAAAGTACTAGGCTATATGTCACGTATTGCACTGCATAATGCACATAATGTTTTCTTTTGGCGCTGTTGTTCAAATAAGTACCATGTTATTGGACACGTACCATGGTAAAATCATGGTAATCTTTGAGATCGAAGTACCATGGTATTACATCGCTGTGCTATGATACAGCCACACAATTTTTGTAAGGGGTGTTATTAAAGAACAGCTCAGACTCGGAGCCAATTTATTACAGAGATGCTGATGTATACATGTGTGTGTTTGGGTTGCAGGAATCATATCGTGGCTGCAGGACATACTTGTGTACTGTGTGATACAAGAGAGTTCAGATCTGCCTCTGATGTATCGTCCCTGATGATGCAAGAGCCACGGTTCGAAGCTGCGCTGGCCATTCATCTTTTCAAAGGAGGCAGGCTTCTTTTAGGTGACACGTCCCCGGCCCCTCAAAAATACATGCATATGTTGGTTTCACCATATTAGTGAGAGCATCTCGTAGATGTAATTGATTTTATACTGAGGTGGAGCACCACAGAGCCTAGCCTGCACACACGCATACTGTACATGCATCTATCTTGTCTCATTATTGTTACTTTTCACTATTGAGCTCTATCACACAATTTATGAC